CAGGAGATACTTCCAAACCCCATCTAAGACCCATCCAACCTGGTCCTGAACCATCTCCAGGGATGGGAGACACCTCCCACCAGCCCCAGGTTGCCCCAAGTCCTATCCAACGTGGCCTTGAAGCACCTCCAGGGTTGGGAGACACCTCCAAGCCCCGTCCAACCTGGTCTTGAACCATCTCCAGGGATGGGAGACACCTCCCACCAGCCCCAGGTTGCCCCAAGTCCCACCCAACCTGGTCTTAAACCATCTCCAGGGATGGGAGACACCTTCAGGCCCCATCCAACCTGGTCTTGAACCACCTCCAGGGACAGGAGATACCTCCAAGGCCCATCCAACCTGGTCTTCAACCATCTCCAGGGACAGGAGATACCTCCAAAACCCATCTTAGACCCATCCAACCTGGTCCTGGACCATCTCCAGGGATGGGAGACACCTCCCACCAGCCCCAGGTTGCCCCAAGCCCCGTCCAACCTGGTCTAGAACCATCTCCAGGGTTGGGAGACACCTCCAGGTCCCATCCAACCTGGTCTTGAACCATCTCCAAGGATTGGAGACACCTCCCACCAGACCAGGTTGCTCCAAACCTTCTCCAACCTGGTCTTCAACCATCTCCAGGGTTGGGAGACACCTCCCACCAGCCCCAGGTTGCTCCAAACCATGTCCAACCTGGTCTTGACCCACCTCCAGGGTTGGGAGACACCTCCAAGCCCCGTCCAACCTGGTCTTGAACCATCTCCTTGGATGGGAGACACCTCCCACCAGCCCCAGGTTGCTCCAAACCACGTCCAACCTGGTCCTGAACCATCTCCAGGGACAGGAGATACCTCCAAACCCCATCTAAGACCCATCCAACCTGGTCCTGAACCACCTCCAGGGTTGGAAGACACCTCCAAGCCCCATCCAACCTGGTCCTGAACCATCTCCAGGGACAGGAGATACCTCCAAGCCCCATCTAAGACCCATCCAACGTGGTCCTGAACCATCTCCAGGGTTGGGAGACACCTCCAAGCTCCATCCAACCTGGTCTTGAACCATCTCCAAGGATGGCAGACATCTTCTACTAGACCCAGGTTGCTCCAAGCCCCATCCAACCTGGTCTTGAACCATCTCCAGGGTTGGGAGACACCTCCCACCAGCCCCAGGTTGCCCCAACCCTCCCTTGAACCATCTCCGGAGATGACTTCTCCACATCTGGAGGGGGGTTCCCCTAGATCTTGGGAGAGCACCAAGGTTGGGGGGCAGGTGGGAAAGGCAGGTGGCATCTCGGGGGGCTTCGGCGAGGAGAAATAGGTGGGTGGGATGGATGGATGGTGGGATGATGGGATGGATGGTGGGATGGATGGATGGATGGTGGGATGGATGGATGGATGGATGGATGGATGACCATCTCCAGGGATGGGAGACACCTCCCACCAACCCTAGGTTGCTCCAAACCTTCTCCAACCTGGTCTTCAACCCCCTCCAGGGACGGGAGACACCTCCCACCAGCCCCAGGTTGCCCCAACCCTCCCTTGAACCATCTCCGGAGATGACTTCTCCACATCTGGAGGGGGGTTCCCCTAGATCTTGGGAGAGCACCAAGGTTGGGGGGCAGGTGGGAAAGGCAGGTGGCATCTCGGGGGGCTTCGGCGAGGTGAAATA